AAATATATTTATTACTAATTTAAAATAATATAATAAATTAAATATATTAATTCCTTATTTATATATAAATAAATAATAAAATAAATATATTAATTCCCTATTTATGATAAAATAATAAAATAAATATATTAATTATTAATTTAAAATAATATAATAAATTAAATATATAAAAATCTTAATAAAATCATAAATATAATAAAAATCTTATTTTTCTTTTTATTACAATAAAAATTATATTATTTTATTTTTTATTGAAAAAAAAAATGCTTTGTATGCTTTGTTTTTTTTCGATTCATTTGGACCCTTTTTTTTATAGTTTAATTTTTTCTTTTTGTTAACTTTTTTATTATTTGCATTTTTAATAATTCAATTTTCGTTTATACTTTCATGTTAAACTGAGAGAATGAATGAGAATGAGTGAGAAAGTGAATATGAGAGATAGAAATAGAATGAAATGGGATCAGAGAATTGGGAATAAACTGGTGAAGAGGGTGGTGGTGGTGATAGTGGTGGTGGTAGTGGTTGTATGAACAATTTCATACAATGTATGTGTATTATATTTACCTTACGTTGATTTATACCAACTCGCTCGAATTGTCACTCATCATCCGGAAGAACAATCACCGGGACTACTGTCTGCATCGTTAACTCCCAGAATAGATTTATTCGTGCTCTTTTACAGTCATCTTCTTTATTCACTCTATCATCTATCACATATATAATCTTATCTCTTTTTTCTATCGTTATGATACAATACGATTATATCAACAATATACATTTATTATTATGATTATTATTATTTAATATTAATATTATTTCATTATTTTTATCTTATTATCAGTTTGATTTATTATATGGGATATAATAAATAGTAAACGCGTTTATATATTATAATATATAATGTATATTTTTTTATGGGTAGATATATATAATATTTTAAATAATAATTATTTATTATATCCCAGATAATATAATTTATTTATATTTATATTTATTCCCCTATTATTTAATTTTAATTAATATACATTATTCTAATTAATTAAAAATTTACGAAAATTATAATAGATATTATAATATTATAGATATTATATAGATATATAGATATAATATTTATTATAATAGATATCTCTCTTTATTATATAAACAATTAAAAAGAAATGGGCTACGAAGACCACGAATGGACAGGGTCAAGCTCAGAAACGAGAACACTGCTGGGATTCTGATATTTGCAGCAATAAACTTTTCAATTTCTAATGTTAATTAATAATAATAAATATTATTTATGAAGATAGAATAAAACTAAATTTTTAAAAAGTTAACTTAATAAAAAAAAAAAGAAAAGAGCTAGAAATAGGACAAACAGTTTACTTTTTATATCGTTGTACTTTTGAAATGAACACAAAAAAATTCAATTATACGTCTTTGCATTTTCCTATTTTCTTCGTTAACAGTTGAAAATTCTGAATGATGATTAAATTAATCTGTTAAATTAGTTCTTTAACATACTAACGTTTTTTCTTTTCTTTTTTTTTTTTCTTTTCTCTTTATATTTACGGTGATACTCGTGAAAATCCGTTTAACCAAAGTTCCATTAAATCTTAAATCTCTCTTTCTCTTTCTATCTCTTTCTCTCTTTCTCTTTCTCTTTTGTTATCAAGTCAAAAATTGTCTGATGTAAATTAAATCGAAATTTTATTAAGAAATTAACTTATCCTATTCTATCCTATTTTATGGATAAAGCTTTTGACACTAACTTGAGTGAAAAGGGTTTTGAAAGATAGAATTCCTTCCTTGAAATGATCATAGTAGTAGTACCTGCTTCGATTAAAAGATATTATCTATATACATGTATTATATGCACTATGTATATATACATACATACATACATACATATATGTAAATGTATATCACAATGTAAAATGTGAAAACCCAACCTAGTCGAGACACAACCCATAGGACGTAAATTATGAGAAGAGWAGAGAACATAGTGAAAAATAGAATGGTATGAAGTAAATGATACATGATACAATTCAAACAATATCAAACGACGTAAACAACTGAGAACAATTTCGTTAAATTTCCTTGTAGTCTCTTGTCCCACCTCTATCCACCACCACTTATACCATCACCATCATGACCACTACCATATCACAATAAACTTTATCCAAGAATATAACATAGGATCGATAAAATAATTCTTTCTCTTGGGTGCATGGTTTTAATAAACCTGATATGTGTTCACATACTTACATATATGTTATACGTCAAAACAATTAACCTTGACATTTTCATTATTTTTTTTTTCATCTTACATTCAATTAAAAATTTCATATATATATGTGTGTGTTTAAATAGTTTTTTAATCAATTTTTTGATTATTTATTCTAATAATATTTTTTTTCAGATTTTTATTCTATTATCTTTGATATTAAAATATATATATATATATAGTATACTATTATACTACTATACTATACTACATAATATAGTATACTAGTATACTATACTACATATATAGTATACTATTATACTACTATA